CACTGTCTCCCTTCCACCACGTGTGGAGGGTGTTATTACAGATGTAATGTCGGAAGAGCAAGGCTCAGAGAGATGAAGTCATTCCCAAGCTTTGATGGCCAGTGAGTCCAGAACCTTGGCTGGTTCAACTCCACAGTTCTTGACTTTTCCCCAAAATTTACAATCCTCTTAAACACAAGGGAGTTATTTGAACTCTAAAATAGAGGAAATGGAATGTGTTCTCAGAACAGCCTGATTTCTACGTCTCTGGTGTAGTCTTGTTCTCCTCTTGGGAGGTGGAGCTACTAGAGCTGAGAGTGACGCTGACCCTTCCTCAGATCCAACAGGTATCATGATCCTGGTTCTCAGTCTTAGATACTCAATCAAGGGTCGGACTCCTGATCCTCAGTCTTGGATGCAGGATGAAGTAACTGGGGAACTTTATAAAATACCGATTCCAGGTTTCCACCTCTGGGGTTCTGGTCACGTTGGGAAAGGGTACAGCATGGATACAGGCATTTTTCAAGTTCTCAGGTGATTCTAACACGCAGCCAATGTTGGTCCTCTGAGCTTCATGAACAGAGGCATTGAGAGAAGGTTGTGGAAGCCTCGATTGAGGGTGAGAATGTCACTTGCCTGAGCTCTGCAAGGTTGTGCCCATGATGTTCTCCCCAGGTCTACTCCAGCCTGGACCTGGCAGAGAGTCATTAGGTGGAAAAGTGAAAGAATCCAGGTAGGGATCACAACTGGTATTGTAACTTTGGCCAAGCAAGTTAATCTCAGTCGTAGTTATGTACAAAATGAAAACAAGGAGAACGACCTACCTGGATAAGCTAGAGTGAAGATGAGAGAAACATTCCTTCAATTCTTACCATGCCTCACAAGTCATATTTACCATAACTGATAATTTCCCGCTTAACTGTATGATTCTTGAAGGCAAGAATCTTATACAGTATGATCAAAATGAATAGAGAATGTTTAAAAATATGCATTACAATAAAAGGCACACTGCCATGAATCCTTCCCTTTGCTTCAAACCCACTTATCCCATTATTCTTGCCACTTTCTGAGGCAGTTCTGGAAGTCCACCTTCCTGAGTGTCTTTTGGAAGCAAAAGCAAAAATATGATGACTGCTGCTGCCAGGCACTGTCTAAAGGAAAGGCAGACTTGTAGAAACATGACAATGTATCTTTATCCACCTTCTTCACCAGATCTGGCACCCTGTGACTTCTGGCTCTTCTTCAAAGTCAAAATGACCATGAAAGGGAAACATTTTGAATTGATTCGGGACATCAAGGCATCCAAGAGAGCACAACTAAAGATGCAAAAGAGAACTTCTAGAACTACTTCAGAAAGTGGCAAGAATGGTGGGATAAGTTTGCTAGAAGTAAGGCAGAGTATTTTGAAGGAGATTAATAGCAACATGTCTTTTACTGCAGTAATTTAAAAAATTTAAACATTCACTGTATTTTTGATCACATCTCATACTTATTTGAACTTTCCCATCTGTGACACCTAGAAATAGTATAAGCTCAGTTTGGATATAATTGATACCACTGTGCCTGAATTTTTCTATACCAGAGCAACTGCATGAAAAGGATTTATGCTTTATACTTCTTAAATGCAATCAATATCATTATCACTTGTCAACAACTTGGTCCAGCATTCCCTTGTTAATAGAGTCTGTTGTAAAACAGTTAGGTTTGGGATATGTTGGATGCTACAGTCTCCCTTCTGAAGAGTCACAAGGTATATTAGCATAGTCAATCCTTTAAAAAATTTTCTGCCGTAATAAAACATGTTTGTTTAGCATGGTGTATACCATATATTTCAAAGTATGTTATCATATATTACTTCAACATATATTTATTTGATGCAATAATTTTTTGCATTAGTCAGTGTTCTCCAGAGTGGCAAAACCATTAGAAAGGAATGGTGGAGAGATAGATGGATAGATTATTGATAGATAGATGATAAGTAAAGAGATAGGTTGATAGATGATTGATATAGATAGATACATAGATAGATGATAGGTAGGTAGAAGGATAGATGATTGATAGATAATTGAGAGAGAGAGAGAGAGAGCGAGAGGAGATTTGGCTCACACATGAGAAGCACCATGATACACAGTCAGTAAGCTGGAGAGACAGGGAAGTCAGTGATGTGGCTCAGTCCCAGTCCAAGCCCTCAGTATTAGGGGGCTGATGGGGTGACTCTCAGCCTGAGAACCTGGGGAGCCACATGTGCAAACCTCAGAGTCCCAAAGTCACAAAACCTGGATTGTGATGTCCAAGGTCAGGAAAGCAAGGATGTCCCAGTTGCAGAGAGAGAGTAAACTCATCTGTGCTCTGTCCTTTTTTCTATTCAAGCCCTCATCCAAACGCAAGGTGCTCCCTTAATTTGAGTGAGGGTGGATCTTCCTTGTTCGGACCACTGGTTAAAATGCCAGTCCCTTCTGAAAAAACCCTTACACTCTACCCAAAAATAATGCTTTACCAGCTATCTGCAAATCCTTTTGTCATATGGACATCTACAATTAACCATCAAAGTACCTAATGGAATATTCCATGGAGCACACTCTGAGGAAGCTCATGTTTGTCTAAATTATGCTGCAAATACATGTTCATGGGAAAAAGGCTGGAAAAAAAAATCCACTTGGGTAAGGCCTTGCATGAGAAAGAGAAAAATCAGCTTTCAAGTCGAGAGTCTCAATTTTATCGGTTTACCCACAGTTTAGCTTTTTATGGGCCACAGATTCACAAATACTGAAAGCAAAATAAATTTGGCATTGCTGGATGAAATTTTATTAATGCATAAAGCTATGTGGATTTTGCTTAAGTTAATCATGTTCTCCTAGCTTCTGACACTTATCTAGGAAATGAGAATAATACAGCAACTCTGTGAGACTGATCTTATTTTAGAAACTGTGGAAGCCATTGGCGCTTTTCACTAAGTATTTCCTATGGTCTGCTTCCTGAACACAGGGTTGATTGTTGTATCCTGGCTCTCTTGGGGCAGGGTGGGGCCGCCTGAGTTCCCTGAAAGGAACTGTAAATGGAACCAGCATGTGTCACTGCTAGGAAACTGTACTGTATCACTGCTGTCACTTCTTGAGCTCTCTTTCCCTCTAGCAGGGGATCCAATATGCATGTTGTTCTGCCAGCCTGAACCTCACAATCAGCAGAAACCATTTGCTGTCCTGCAAAAAACATGGGAGCAAAAAACTAAGAACTATTATTGCTGAGATTTAGAAGTTGCTTATTATCACAACACAGTTTAGCTTAATCCGTCCGACTCAAGAATCAAATCAGATGCCACATACCAAGTCTGTCTCTGTTTCTGGCTCATGTTAGGTGATCCATAGACATTAGTTCTTTCTAAAATAAGAGTGAGATGCTCTTTCTAAATGACTCAGCCATACGTTTTAACACAAGCCACTCTCTCCTGCTGAGGGGGTACATTCAGGAATATGAGTAAACAATACAAAATATGTGTGTAGTATTCAAACCAGGCTTGTTTGGATAATTTGTGTTTTGGAGAGTTGCTAGCTTGAGTTTTCTTCTTTCTTTCTTCTTTTTGAAAGAAGCAATGATACACTCCCCCAAAATGGTTGATAAGCTGAATTGAATTGTGTGCCTCAGGTATCAGGTAATTGTGTTGTTTCTCAGAACAAAGCTGAAAAGGCAGACACCCCAATTTGCAGAAAAGACCTTTGACTCCTTCTAATGCTACTCTGTCCCTGCTACCATGCCTCCCTCTCTTTCTTCTTTTGCCTTTTGTCCCATTTTACACAATTAGCTGCATCTTTGGGTCTGACTTGGAATGACAGCCCAGTCCTTGTTTGTATGAGCTTATAAACATTAAGTGGAAATGTTTCTCATTAGCATGCATTAGGGAGTCTCCAAGAAGGGTAAGCTCAGCCCAGGCAGGGTTAGTTAGCAACACTGTTGGTTCATTCAAGTGCACAGCACCTGACAAGCATTCTTTTCCCATTGGGATGAAAGCAAAGCTTTGTTTTCCTAACAAAAAGCTCAGGCTGCTTCCATGGGAGCCCTGGTTGCTAGGCTGGTTTCTAGTCTCCCAGCCTTCTCGCCCTGCAGGTGGGCCTGCAGACATCCACCTGCAGATTCAGCCCACCTGGAGTCACTTCCCTTCAGTGAGGAAGACCAAGGAGCTGGAAGACTGTAGGCTCCCTGGCTTCTGGATGCTGAGCCAGACCCTGTTTTCCAGCTCCTGACATGGGGCTTGTACAGTGTCCCAGCCTCGTTCACTGCCCTGGTCTCTGCTCTAGAAACAAGGTGTGGTCTTCCTTCAGCTCTTCCTTCCCAGTTCAGTGAGTATCCCAGCCCCAGCCACTGTGCCCCTATGCTGCCCTGGTCAGCAGTTCCCAGGGACCCGAAATGTCACAGTTCAGCCTGTCAATCAGTGTCAATTATTGCAACTGACTTCCTTCTTCTCCCTGAAGGATGCCCACAGAATTTCCTACTGCCAAGGAGTTGTCCATCCTTCATTTATCCTTCAAGGAAGTCTGCTGACTTCTTGCGCTTCATTTTAGATTCCCAGATGGTGCAGCAAATGTGATCTCGCGCTTTTTTGATAAATTCTACTTCCTGACTGGGTCACCTTCCCCCAAGTAGGACAGAACCCGGTCCAGTCCCGATGTCCTCCTGCACTGCTGCTTCCCACCTCCACTTCAACTAAGTGAGGCCTGAGTGAGCTTGGCAAATTGATTTAAAAATAAATAAGTAAATAACAAAACAATATATGGTGTAAATTGTGATGGCTAATTTTTTGTTTTAACCTAATGGGGCTCTGGGATACACAGAGAGCTGCATGTGTCCATGAGGGTGTCTCAGAAGAAGGTAACATAGATCCATCCTCATCAGTGTGGGAGGACACCACCCAATCCACCAAGGGCCCAAAATAAAACAGGAAGGCGGAGGAAGGGAAGATTCAATCTGTGCTTGAGCCAGGACATCCATGGTCTGTCTCCTGCCCGCAGATGTCAGAGCTCCCGGTTCTTGAGCCTGTGGACTTAGACAAATTACATCACTGTCCTTCTTCCTGGTTCTCAAGGCTGAAGATATCACATTATCCTGGGACTTTATGACCTTCATAGTCCATAAATTTGATCCGAATGAGCTACTTTACGCATTTGTATGTATACATTTTATATACTATATATTTTTATATATGTATTCATGTATGTATATATGCATGGATTCTGTTGGCTGTGTGTGTGTGTGTGTGTGTGTGTGTGTGTGTGTTCTCTTGGCTCCCTTTCTCTGGAGAATCCTAACTAATACATGTGCATATGTCAAAATCATAAAGAATTCTCAAAGAACTGAAGTCCAGGAGACTGCATCCTGTGACATGGTGCAACCCAGGTGTCTTGTGCACTGAGATGATGAACCTCACTCTTTTTCTTCTGTGGATCAGAGTGAAGATTACCTGCCAGGTGTGGTTGCTGGAAAGGTCAGCAGAAGGCATGCAGAGCCCTCCTCTGGTGCCTGGTACACAGATTTTATGTGATGTTGTCATTTATTGCATTGCTATTGTGGTGCCTAACCCATAACTCGGCCATGAGCTTTTGCCTCTGCATTTCCCACAGAGCTTACAGCTCCCTGGTTTCAGCAAGGGTGACACAGAGAAAGCAGAAACTCTGGATCAAGGGCCCTGCTCAGGCTATCATTGGGTCCAGTGATCTTACAAAAGCTGCAGAGCCTACAGAGCTACATCTTGAGAGCTCCACATCTCCTCCTGGCCCTGACCCAGCTACCCTACCTTTTCTGAATTTGACTCAGCACCAGCGAACCACAAGAAAATAAAATCATCTCTAACCAGACAGAGGGTTTTCAAGACAGGTAATTCTGTACCCTTCCCCCATGAGGTCAAAGCTTCGGGAATCCAGGTGTCCCTTCTGAGTTCAAGTGTAGTTATCTCTGGGCTTATCCAGATAAGGATGCAAAGTGCAGAAACCTTGTGTGGTGCTTATATAACCCTAGTCGATTCTGTAGCAATCATTGTCTGAGTTAGCTAGTGGCAGGGTAGGAGGACCACCTACTGAGATTCCATTACCTTGTAATTTTCAGCTTGTTCACTGTTGCAATAAAGCCCCTCTGTCTTATAATTCCCCAGCATTCCTCTCTCATCTTCTCAAGAACTGAAGTATGTAAGATGCTTTCTGCTGGGCATTCATTGAGATAAGTTATTGAAGTCAAGCAGAGAAGCAAGCTTCCAGCGCTTGGCTATTCATCTCAAAATTTATGTTCCTGCTTGCTTTTGAAGGTCTAATGTAATCACAAACAATGTGCTTTCTATATGTTTAAAAATTCATAAGTTTCCTGTACAATGAAGGCTGAGGGGGTGAGGAAGTCCCCACGCTTGGGGCTCATTAGCAATAGGAGGCTCGGAGCAGCTGACTCCTTTTTGATATACTTTCTATGGGGCCAAAAGCCACAGTCATTCAGAGCCAGTCAGCTGGGAGGAGTGAAGACGGCTTCAGGAACTCATTAACCTGGCCAAGAGTCAGGCTCTGTGATCTGCCAGATGATCTGTTTCCTCTTGAAAATGGCTGCTTCCTCCCGTATCTTCTCTGGGTTCTGAAATGCACCTTTCTCTCCTCTCCACATGCACAGCATCCCTATCTCTGCTCTGGACCCTAATGTGGTCATCTCAGTCCTCTCCCGGCCGCTCTCCATTCTCCCCAGCTCACCACCATTTCCGGACCCTCCCAGGACAGCTGCTCCCTGCAGGAGAAACATCTCCACCTTCCACTCATCAAGGAGAAAATCAAATCCAAATGTCTCAGGGTGGAGTTTGCAGCCCAGTGGCTTCTGTCTCCCCTTGAAATCCAGAGGCACAGGCAGTGAGGATCCTAGAAAGGCTCCGAGAAGGGAACAGAGAGGGGATCACAGAGTCCTTGGGTTGATGTGCCCTGATACACTGCTCTCCTCCAGTGAGTAGCTTCCCACCCTGTGACTTGTATAGGATGAATTAAGGGGGCTGGAGCCTCCAAAGCAGGGGTCCTGAAACCCCCAGTCAGGAACTGGGCTGCAGAGCAGGAGATGAGTGGTGGAGGCACAAGTGAAGCTTCGTCTGTACTTCCAGTGGCCCCCATGGCTCCCATCAACCACCTGGGCTCCTGTCCAATCAGCGAGGCCTTAGATTCTCATAGGAGCAGAAAGCCTACTATGAACTGTGCATGCAAGGGGTCTAGATTGGGAACTCCTTTGAGTCATGCTGAAACCACTCCCCTTCCCTCTCATCAGTGGAGAATTTGTCTTACATAAAGCAGGTCCCTGGTACTGCAATGGTTGGGAATCACTGCTCTAAAGTACCAATTATATGACACTTCTGCTACTGAGACATGGGACCAGGTCCCACATTTTGAACTGGTCTGGCTAAGAATGGTTGGCAAAAGCCACCCTATGTGTCCTCCAATGCTGCCAACTGCTCTGAGATCCCAAAGGCTTCATGTAAGAAGTCTGAGCACTCTGAGGCCACCATGTTAGAAGGCAGCCCAGGCCATGCTGAGAACCATAGAGCAGCACCCCGGCGCAGCTCAGCAGAGCCTCGCCTCTCAGCTATGATACCCCAGGCCCCAATTTGTGAGTGCAGAAGCCTCCAGAAGCCTCCTAAAGCCTAGGGCTATAGGAGTCACTCTCAGCCATTTAAGTCTCCCCAGATATGGTCCTGGACATTGCAGAGCAGAGGCAAACCATTCCTTATATCTGTCCCAACCTCTGCCCACAGACTATAAGCATCATACAAGTTTGTTCCTTTAGATCACTGAATTTGGGGTTAGTTCCAGGGCAGTACTTGACTGGAATTGGAGGAGATGGTGAGATTCCTCCCAGGGCCCTCTCCAGGCAGGTCCTCTACCCATATTTTGAGTACGTGAAGATGCACCATTTTCCCCAAGGATCCAAAGGGAGACCAGCCCTGGGATCTTTGGGTTCAGATTATATTCTTATTTGGCAGAGAGGAAAAGCCTTGAGACTTAGCACAAGTTCACTGGGAGGCAAGAAGGTGCAAAGAGGGCTGGTTGGACAGAGCAGAGGCCATGGAGTAGATTCTATTGGAGCACTGTGGGGAGAGTCCTGGAAGGACTAGCATGAGCTATGGGTGCAGGGGAGAAATCAAGGAGGAAGCATGCCCAAGGGCCAAGGTCAATGCCATCACCCAAACCCATCTGGCTCCATTGGCTTCCTTGTGTCTAATATCTAAATCTTTTGGAAATTCTGATTTCAAGTCAGCTCTATTCACATAAAAAACATCCAACATATACTGAACAGGAGGCTGGGGCTGGGAGGGAAGTATACACATAAAGAAGATGCTGTGACCTCAAGTCTGGGGAAGTCATTTTCCAGCCTGGGTACTCTGTCTGCCTGGAAAAATCACTAAGCTATTCAGAATTTTATTCAAAGCCTTTCCAGAAATCATAGCCACAGGAAGGCTAAGACACATCCTGGTTTGGGAATCAGCCAATGGCAGGGGGCTTTTGCCTTGAAAGGGAGGGTGAGGCTTTCCGCCCACTTCCATCAAGTTCAGAGGCTAGCAGAAGGGCTCTGAGCATAAATGCCATCCTCAAAGGGGAACCCCCACAGCACCTTCTGGCTGATCCCACCGCTTTGCCAGCTGGCTGCAGAGGAGAGCTGGGGAAAGCCTCATTAAGCCACACAAAGCCAGCCTAAGAAGGGACAAAGTGGACTGCAGCTGCCTTGCCAGCCTGCTGCGGCTGATTGCTTGTGATCCCTGTCAGCCTGCGGCTGGCCTGCCTGCTGATACAGCCTGTTGTGTCGCAGACCTTATTACTGCAAATCCCATTTCCATTGCACAGATGCCTCAGAAATTGCAAACATGTCTACCTGTGGCCAAGCTGCCTGCAAAGGTCACTGCAGCAGCTTTTGAGCCTCTCTGCTGTTTGCCTTGTCCACACATACATACACCTTCGGTACCCAAAGTCAAAGCAACCACAGCTCTTCAACCTGTTGCTGCTTAATCCTGGCCAGATCCAGGCTGGGCCCAGTGAAGAGGTTAAGGAATCTGCAATGTCGCAGAGCAGGGCCTCTTAAGTATGCCCAGAAAATCTAATTCAACTGATAAGATATGAGCCCCAGAAAGCTATATTTTAAAAAGCTTCCTAGTTGCACTGATTCGCAACAGAGGTACAAACTACTGCCATGAGAAACACGCTAGTATTTATTGGATGCTGGCTAGATGTCAGGGCCTGTATACTTATTTGTAAGTGTTCTCATTTCATTCCTAAAATAGTTATGAATGAAATATTCCCTTTTGTGTGAAGCAAAGAAAATGAAGTTTAGAGAAATTTTTTAAAAATTTGCTCATATCCTCTGTATTAGTCAGTTTTCCATTGCTGGACACAATCCAGACACCTACAACAACTTCAAAAAGGAAAGACTTAATTTAGATTGCAGTTCAGGGAGATTCAGTCCATGGCCAGTCGGCTCCAAGGCAAGGAACATCCTGGCAGAAAGGCATATTTGAGCAAAGCTGCTTAGTTCATGGTGGGCAAGAAGCAGAGAAGAGGAACAGTACCAGAGAGAGAGAGAGGAGCAAGGGACCGGATATAGCCCCCAGCATCATGCATCCATGACCCACCACTCTATACCCAAGACCATGCTCTCGGTGAGCAAGCAAAGCAACCAAAAATTTCATTCTTGCAGGTGGGAAGGGAAAATGGTATAGCCACTCATATAAACCAGAATTCTACTCCTGAGTATCCCAAAGGAATAAAAGCATATGTCTATACAAAGATCTGTACTCAAATGTTCAGGGTAGCTTCCTAGCCAGATATGAACCCACAGAGTCATCAGCAAATGAAAGAACAGGTCAGTTGTGCTATATCTATCTTGCTACTCAGTAATACAAATAGAAGTGCTGGCACATGCATGCTGTGGTGTGGCAGTGGTTTGTGTACCCAGGGTTTGTGCGTTGGAGGTTGCTTCCCAGTGTAGTTATGTGTGAGGTGGCGTGGAACCTTTAAGAGGTCTGGTCTAGTGGGTCTTCGGGTCTTTGAGGGCTCTGCCATAGGAAGGAATTGATGAGGTTTTTGTAGAACCCTGATTAGTCCTCATGAAGGGAGTGTTACAGATCTGTGAGTAAAATAAACCTCTTTGCTTTGTAAGAGTTGCCCAACTTGAAGCATTGTGTTATAGTAAAAAATAAAATTAACCAATATATTGCAAAACATGCATGAATTTTAAAAAAGTGTCAGCTAAAAATTCTTTTAAAGACAGAAACAAAAGAGTTGAGTTTATTTAAATCAAGTTCCAGAAAAACCAAATCATCTTCTGGAATAGAAATCCGGGTTACTAATGACCTAGGGTAGGTGGTAAGATGTGGAGTGATTGTGAACGGTCACAAAGGAAATTCTTATAGTTCTGAGGGTTGAACCCAGGGCCTCACACATGTTAGGCAGTTGCTCTACCACTGAGCTTTTAAATTTTTAAACTTAATCTATTCTTTACAGTGGTAAGGATTAAACCTAGGGCCTTTTGCACTGAGCTACATTCTCGACACTTTTTTATCATTTAAGTTTTGAAATAGGGTCTCACTAAGTCTGTAAGTTGCCCAAGCTGGGCTCAAACTTGCCATTCTCCTGTCCGGCCTTTCTCAGTATCTAGAATTACAGGCCTGCACCTCTGCTCTTAGCCCAAAGGAACTCTCCGAAGTGACAGAGACATGTTCTCTGTCATGATTATAGTGGGTATTCTGAATGCACCAAATTATCACATTGTATCCCATAAATATGTACAATTATAACAATAATAAAATAATTAATAAAGCAAATAAATGCCATATTCTTGTCAAAAGTCATCGAACTGTATTTCTAAATGGG